TTCTTGCTTCTTCCTGGCCCTCTCAATCTTAGTTTTGTCGGTGAATCGCATGTAAACATGCGTGATTATAGCTGCAGTAGCAAGTACTGCACTCACTCATTCACTGTAGCAGACACTGCATGCATACAAAGACTCAGAGTACAGGGACTGTGATTGGTCCATTGCACTCTGAGCTTTAAGACCCCAACTGTGATTGGTCAATTAAGGAACAGCTATGACATCATCTTTGCAGAATGGCTGTCTGCTACATTTTGCATCTTTATATCAAAATTGTGAAAAAATGTACAAATTTGGAGATGGGAACATTTCACCATTGTTCTTAGATATATGTCCATTGATCATTTAGGACAAAATGAGGTACTTCCCAGGGGGAGACAACTGACCTGAAGAATTTTGAGGCTTGGCCCATGGTCTACTGGTGCGTGCCTCTTTTTTAGGTGTAAGAAGTGCCCCATTTTCCCATCTGATAATTAGGCTTTGTACTTTGACACGTGCTCCTTTTCTTTTCTAATAAGTGTCTTAACCCTTTCGATAAGTGCCCCCTTTTCCTCTCATCATTAAACGTAGTTGTACCAGGGGTAGTCGTCCTAGAAGCTGTTCACACCGGCAGAGATAGCGCGGTCTAGCGCGCGCTAGACCGCGCTATCTCTACGGTGTGGAAGGTACAACGTCGTTTCGGTCCGCCAAACAGCGAGCCACGGCGAGCCAAAACGGCGTGCCACTGGAACACCTCTTGGGGTGGCCCACGAGAGATAGCACGGTCTAGCGCGCTAGACCTCGCTATCTCTGCCGGTGTGAACCCGAGTTACGATAGCACGCCGGAAGTCATCGTTCTACACGCGGGGAATTTTATACTCATTCTATTTTGGTGCGATCTGAATCGGTACAACTCAACACTCCTAATTCTATGGAGTAAAACGCGTCGGAACATCGTGAAAAAAGAAATATATAGTAAGTAATGTTGGACCTGACTTTACTAAACGTACTTTGTTCGCTGTTTTTCGTGGGTTAGCAGGTTAACTACGGGTTCGTAATAGCGCGCGAACTCTTTGACCGCTCTGACCTCATGGCGTCACGCGTCATGGCAACAGGACCTCTCAAAAAAGGGAGTTCTACGATAGACCGCGCTATCTCACTGCGGTGTGAATCCGGCGAAAGCCAATGTGCGGACCGTGGGTCGCGCTACGATAGCGCGATCCACGGTCCGCCCACGGTCCCCCTTGCGGTGTGAACAGCCTCCTAGAGGGTGGTTTCCCTACAGGGTACTTGTCCTAGGGGGTACTTGTCTGGGGGGTACTTGTCCCGTCGGTATTCGTCCTAGAGGGTGGTAGCCCTAAGGGTAGTTGTCCTAGGGGGTAGTTGCCCTAGGGGGTAGTTTACTGGGGATGGTTATCCGGGGTGGATGTCCAAGGGGTAGGAGTCCTAGAACCTAAAAGGGGTATATTCCAATGTCTAAAAACTTTGACATTTTCGCTATGAGATTTCCCTTTAAAGGTGCTCTTTTTTCCAGAAAGTGCCCTGTTTTTTGGATGCCTCCCCCCTCCCCCCCCCCCCCCCATTTTGGAAGTCGCTCCGCCGCCTCTGGTCCTGGTGACACACAAGGAAGCGTTCTCCAAAGGTCTGTGACATGAAACCAATTTTTCGCCAATTTAATTTGCTACCCATCAGATCCCGGATTCACTACAGTACACTTGTCCCGATCTTTAAATGCATCAAGTTAAGTTCCTCCCTAACTATCAGAACTCGTGCCTTTCAGCAATCCATCAAAGTACTCCCCCAGCTCCTGCATATCATGTTTCAGTTGAACTATCTCCAAAAACGCTTCCAACACTCGGTGACTGAGTTTCCAAAATTGCTTCTCCCAAGCGGCAGAATAATATACCCAGATTTCTCCGTCACCAGCAATCACTCAACACCTTAAAGTTACCTAAACCGCACCTCTTTTCTTTTATGCTCCCCTAACTCCAGCAGTGAGGAAGTTGATTATTGTAAGCGTATCATCACAAGTACATCATACAAGATGCTTTTAGACTTAATTTGGCAAGGATTTTAGTGGCCGTAGTATGAATATTTGAGCATATTGCTCCGGTTGTCTCATTTTCGCTCGCTGGACCATTGCCAGCACAAACGTAGCTAGTTCGACGTCACTACCAAACAAGAATGTTTCACTATGTTGCAGGGCCATTGGGTATGATGTGTGAACCGAGTGTGCGGAAATGGTGTGTTGGGTAGGGGAAGTGAGAGTGTTCGTGTGTGTGGTAATTGTATGTGTGTCAACAATTAAAGACTAATAAATGACAGATGGCTAATCATAAATCTACAATGACGAGTAAACTGTCTACATCACAGTCCACATATAAATGTGCCTTGAACGTATAGCAGACGGCAATCGGCGGATCAGATGACACTTGATAGTGATTTTGAAAGTGAGATTGCTTTGCTAAATATAAAATACAAGAACCTTTTCCATATCTCTAAACTATCATTGATATCTGATAATTAAACAGTTAGTAAAATAAACCTACCAAACTACATAATACAATGAAATACTTGACTGAAAGTAGGGGAGTTTGATGTGGTGCACAATTGCACCCCTCTGTAAATAATCGAATAGTCCATGGCGTGTCACGAATATTCATGTTTGGCTTAACTCGGCAAAATGAATTTTTAACGATTTTGGGGGTAAAAGTCCTTAGGCTAACATGTTAGGCTGCTGGACTCTGACGATAGGGGGCGTTGTCCAATGAGACTATTCGGAGCCATATGATTTAGATTCTCACCTGGAAAATTGCCAAATACACCGAAGAGACCAATAGCAATTCCGATATCCGTCGATGTCGTTCAAAGACTATTGCTGATGTATTTCAAGTAAAATCCAATAGTCTTGATAATACCTACATCACTGGATGCCCTCAAAAATGTACACAACACCAAAGGTAAATTTGGAGAAGTTAAAATCTCATGACACCGCCCCATTATAGGCTTTAATAGCTTAGACAGATACAGAGATTTGATTGGTCCAGAGCTCGTCACGTGATATCAATTATGTGGGTCCAAATTGTTAAATTTTCCTGGCCGGTCACTTTTCGGCGTTATACCAGCTGGTGAAATAAATACGTTTTTAATCAATGCATGTTGCCCTCTTGAGGACTGGATGTCACCAATTACACCAATTACACCATTTATACCGAGGGTCATTTTCAATTCAATTCAATTTTTTTTTTTTTAAAATTTCTTTTTTTAAAGAATTTTTTTTAAAGAATTTTTTTTTTTTTCTTTTTGAATTATCTCTAAATATTATTTTTCACTAAACTTCTTTTTCTTAAATTTTGATTGTTACCGAAAAAAAAATCAAACCAAGGCTATCTAATATAACAGTTATTGACTGGCAGGGGGTATATAACATTCTTTGGACCTGAAGGGAGTTATATTTTCCCTCAGCGCTGCGCGCTTTTGGAAAATATAACCACTTGGGAAATATAACTCCCTTCAGCAGTCCAAATAATGTTACATTACACCCCTGCCAGTCAATAACTGTATAATATTAGATAGCTTTAAGATACCGAGATGTGATTGGTCCAGAGCTCGTCACGTGATATCAATTGTAAGAATCCAAAATGTTATATTTTCCTGGCCATTCACTTCTCAACGTTATATCAACCAGCTGGTGAAATGAATATATTTTTAATCAATGCAATGTCGCCCTCTTGAGGACTGTATGTCATCAATTACACACATTACACAATTACCGAGTGTCCTTTTTTCATAAATCTTTTATTCCCCTTGAATTATTTTTTCCCAAATTTTAATTTTTCCAAAAAATTCTTTTTTGGGTAAGAATTATTATAATTTTTTTTTTCTCCCTTGAAATTAGTTTTTCCAAATTGTGTTTAAAAGTATTTTTTTTTTTTTTTATTGAATTATCTTTTTGCAATTGTTTTTCTAAAATTTTGGTTGTCCTAGAAAAAACAATTTCTGGCATAAACAAAATATGGACACCCCCCCCCCCCCCTAAAAAAAAAAAAAAAATCAAACAAAGGCTATCTTATATAACAGTTATTGACTGGCAGGGGGTGTATAACCTGAGCATACCTGATCAACTCTGTTTCAAAATACAACCCCACACGAAGTCTTCGCTCCTCATCAGACACACTATTACTTAATACACCCAGAATAAAACATGCTTGGGGGGAACGGGCTTTCTCAGCCATGGGTCCAAAACTGTGGAATAAGCTCCCTCTAAAATAACGTCAACTGTCATCGACAGAAGCATTCAAATTACAACTAAAAGCCTATTTGTTTCTTTCGTTGTAATTATTGCAATATTCTAATTTACTATGTCTAGGAGAATTCCGAATTTGTTTTTCGGTTTATTGTTTTTTTCTTTCTTATGCCTGTTACATGTACTCTTTTCTAAGCGCCATGAGCACCGAAAGATGGACCTGTGCGCTATACAAGTAGCCACTATTAATATTATTATATTATAACATTAACCTGAAGTGAGTTATATTTTCCCTCGTGACCATATTTTCCCTCAGCGCCGCGCGCTTTGGGAAAATATAACCACTTGGGAAATATAACTCCCTTCAGCGGTCCAAATAATGTTATATTACACCCCCTGTCCGTCAATAACGGTATAATACATACAACAAATTCGTACTTCACTTCTGTAAACAGAGTCACATACACGACACGTACAATAAACGTGCAGAATATTAATTGACCTCAAGAAATATCAGTATCCCATTGTTCTGTAGGAGCTCCAAACGTCTATGTACGGTTGAACACTTTTGAGTGAATACAAGTTATGTACTTTGCTCCCTCTCATAATACCCTTCAAAATGTACAAGGAAATGTTGTAAAAAATCTGCATTCCGTTAGTATCACCGTGATCACTGGCTGCACCCCTGGGCCCCACTAGGTGCCCTCGGGTGACTGGGTATTAATCTCATTTTTTTTTATGTAATAAAGAATATTTCTCTAGATCATAAATTCCAACTGTCGAGGTTTGTTGTTTGCTGAAAAGGGGAAATGACTTCTTTTCACGCAAAACTGTTCAATCGGACAACTATGCAAATTGAATAAGAAGGTTTGTAAAAAACACGTCGAAGCGCATTATGACGCACATAAACTTAGGCTTGTCGACAAACCTCCTTAGTGAATTCGGGCCACGGAGTTATATCAATATTACTCTCGTCTATTTTACATGTCGTATATGTTACCCAGCAATACAGAAGTGAAACACGAATTTATATTTTGTTTATCATTTCATCATAGCCTACCATGGGTCGTGTTCATGATATTTTAACTTCTCCCAGTTTACCTTTGGTGGTGTGTACCTTCTTAAGGACATCCGGTACTGTGGGTATTATGAAGACCATTGGAATTTACTTGGAAGATATCAACAAAAGTCTTGGAACGACATCGACGGATCTCGGAATTGCTCTTGGTCTCCTCAATGCATTCTGCCACTTACCAGGTGAGAATCTAAATCTCAACTATTCCTTCTGCGACCACTCCAATCCTTTTCCAAATTATCTCTAAAATCGTCATGCACGTTGAACTTTTGATGATTCAATCAACTACCTCACAGCTGGAGTTAGGGGATCGTTTATCAAGAGTTTTGAGCGATTTAGATAGTGGATCACTACAATAAACGTAGGACAATATCGTTAAACATAGTAAGACAAGATAGTTTGATGACTGTGTGAGGGACAAGAGTAGGTAGTAGCATGAAACAATAACGTAAACTTTGTGGCCCGAATTCACAAAGCAAGGTTTGAGCTCAGACCAAGGTTTGACCTCAAACCTCCTTTTGTTTCGCCAAACCTCCTTTTGTTATTTACAAACCATTTACAAACCAGGTTTGTAAATAACAAAGGGAGGTTTGGCGAAACAAAAGGAGGTTTGAGCTCAAACCTTGCTTTGTGAATTCGGGCCTGTATGCCTACGATTGTGTACGTTGACATTGGCATGTGCGTAAATCAACGGGACTACACTCCCATGCGTCAGTATTACCTCTTTTTAAAAAAATAGTTATATAGTTAATTCGTTGCCCGACTTTTCTCAAAATTTAAATTTTTCAGATATACATAGGTTTAATAAATCATATTAATGTGCAATTAAAGAAACTGTGTCCCTTTTGCAGCCAACATCAAATGCTGTAGAACTTTGCAGGAATTATGAATATGTCATGTACAAAAATGTTTAAGAGAGGTATATACTTGCTTCATCAAATTATTACTCCTTAAGGTCTTCGTAAAACCTTCCAGTCATTGAAGAACGAATTCGATATTGATCACAATGATTTATTTTTTAGAATTCCATGTTGACTCTTTAGTGATGTCAAAAAGCGTGAAGAATTTAATATACTGTAGAAATGTTCAATGAAGAATTTAAAAAAAAATAAAAAGAGAAAATCATTATTCCTGAATGTATTCGACTGTTACCGGTTCTTAAGAGCAAACATATTTGACAAGATACTAATAAATGACAAAAATGAAAGACCAGCAAGTATTTTTCGATAGCAAAATAGATTTGGTATGTCCCAACAAGAAATATGCAAAGCACGCCAATTAATAGTTTAAACTTAAATAGATACAAAAACAAGAGAATTTCAGTTCAACGTATTAACTTATATTTTGGCAATGAACTATAACTACAATGTATATCAAATGAAATTGGTATTGTCCCCTGTATGCTCGTTAGAATGCTCTGAATATGAAACAGTATAACACATTATGTGGACCTGTAAAGTCACACAAATATTTGGGAACGATGTAAAGTCGTTCCTTGATGTCATTGATTTCTCTTTCCTCGATGACAAGACGGTGATAAAAGGGTTTTTTAGAAAAGTGTACAAACGAAATGCTTTTGAATCACATTTTAGTTATAGCTAAGAAATTGAAATATATATATAAGCAAATGTCATAGCACATACCCTAGTATATCTTTATTAAAAAGTGTTTTAGCAAGATCATACAACGAAGAGTTATATATATATAGCAAAAACATAAAAAAGTAAATGTACATGTCAAGAAGTGGGGTCCACTCGCTACAGTAATTAAATACTATATAACCCCTCAAAATTAATGAAACAGTCTCATTAATGAATTCAAACGAACATTTTTCAGGTGTATTGTTTTCATTCATGAAAATTTCCTTTTCTTTCCTTCCGCACTAGTTCGTGTTGTGAGCATAGTCCACTGCCTCGGCTGTTGAGGTCTTAAAGTGTAACACGGTGCCTAAGCTGCTGAAAAAATGAGTCGTTGCGCACAGCGCGCCCCTTTGCATAATAATACATCTAGCTACATGTATGCTGCTCGCTTGAGCTAACTACATTGTAGCTGGTCGCAGCAATGTTTCGCCGAATTTATATTCAAAAATAATATGTACAAGGGGAGGCAACAACAAAAAAGGACGCTTTCTGGGGGAAAGGGGCACTGCCACCGATAATAGGCAACACAAAACCACGACAATCTGATTCGCCACCAAAGACAAGCATTGCACATCCCAAATCCGCCACAATAACTCCCAAAACATAACAGTCAGGATGCTAATGTCTACGTGTCAAGATTTCTGCGATAACGAACACTTTATTAACTAGTCTTGGCTCCAAGCGCACGCAGGCGCGTCACACCTCCCTCCTTAAAACAGAAAGCTATGTTTCCTTTCACAATCTTTTTTTGATATGCTCAATGGTATTTTGTTTTTGCTCATAGCTGTCCTAAATAATCGATAATAATATTATTGTAATAATTATATTGTGTAAACGTATATTCATTTGATGATAACTATTTGATGTATTTTAGACACTGTATATCAATTACAATACTGAGCCCGAGAGTGTTCTTGTCTGCATACAGCTCCTTTCCTTGCTGCCCTCTATCGTCACCATTCGACTCGTCGTCTGCTCCTGATATCTGGTACATGTCTCCCTCCAATAGGCGTGGCTTTGACATCCATGGCAACCAGCAACGCCCAAATGGCAATTTATCCGTCAATTACCGGTAAGAAACTGTGCACCAAACCTACTAACAATGTTGAAAGACCTTTCTTTGTTTAAACCTTACAGTTGATTACATTATAGTTTTTCGTAAACAGTTAGAAGGGGGGTTAAATTAACTTACTCTCATCAAATCACTCATTTGAAGATAATAATAAAGGACGTTTGTGAGCCATTATTTTAACTGTGTTGATGTCAGAATAATAAAGAGAAAATCGCAGTTAAATGTAGCACATCATGATTTTACTTCACTACCGTCTGGCTGAATGTATAATCTATCGCCTCACTCTAAACCCCGCGCATGTTTTTATTTTGATGACAAATGCAGCGATACAAAAATAAAGGAATCTGTCGCTTGTAAACAAAATAAGACGCCATATTCATCTGCACACACCGCGGTAGGTTCGGCGTTTCAAGGGGGAACAAATTCCATCCTAAATATCATTCCGTTTTCAATTTGAAAGTCTAGTTTCTTTGATTGTTAATTAGCCCCTATCCTGTGTATTTACAAACAATGATTTTAGTTATCAGAATAGGTTTCATATCCCCTTTTGAATGATTTGAAATGCCATCACATTTATATACACTAAACTCATTATAATTTGAGAAATAATAGCTTTGCAGTTATGTTCATTCTTTATGGGATGTCGTCTGCTAGAGCAGTATTGGTGCATTATGTGACGTCATTAAAACGTCGTTATTTTTATGGCGAATCTCTCGTATATCCCAGATGCTATGGAGGTGGTTTTATTTGTATTTTTATAAATCACCCGATGTAGTTGACCTAAAACTTTTACGATGGCCATCTGTTAACTTACTAGTTTCTAGTGATACATTAGTCGAAATATTTGTGATTTTCTTTGAATATCCACTTAAAAATAATCATGAAGCAGGTTATTCAGTTTTTGAAAAGCAAATTCTGTAATGCGTTTATATTAAAAATTGTTTTACATTCAATGAATTATGGGTTTGTTGGGGCTAAATCCTGGGAGCCAGCATATACGCAAAGCGATTTTTTGTATTCTTTCAGAACATAACATTTTTCAAATGGGTGAGGTGGGGGGGGGGCTGGGGTTCAGCGTCCATTTTGAGGAGCTAAAGCAGATTTAAAATCTGCCTCTTTTTTGCCATTTTTGTGTGCGCGCTTATTATAATTGAATGGTCAAAAGGATCTAGCAGTAAGTTCGAATTGTTGCGAATAGGATCAGGAACCCAAATCATGTTTAAGAAACCCCGATGTTTTAGTTTTGATTGGGCTGACGGGAGTAAAAACACTCTCTCTCGTATACACGTGTGTGCGATATTCATAACAATAGTCAAAGTTTGCGCGGGGGATGTCGGGGAGACGTACATGTACGTGCTCATGAAATATGTTAATATACTGCGCAACAACTTGAATTGTCTTGATATAAATTATGGAAGTGTTATGATTAGAGATATGCAAAATTCAAACAATGGCGCCTAAATAACGGCACGTTATGCAAATGATCTTGAACATGTTCGTGTGTCCAGTTCTTAATAGGTGCCAGTTTTAAAAAAAAAATGCAAATGCAATTCTTTAGATATCTGTTTTAAAAAAACACACACAAAAAAAACACAGGTCTGACGAATATAAGAGATGATAATTATGTACTTACGTGCATACTATTAATACCCAATATGCACTAGAACGATAATGAAAATATTAATGATCATGATGATGTTAAGGCTTAAATTATAATTCTCCTCCTCCTCATCTAGTCCACTCCAAATTTTATTAAACCGAAACGGAAATTCTTTTTGCCCAATTGATCGTGAGCCCGGCAGCCACTGAGCAGCGCCAGATCGACGTTGCTCTATCCCTTATTGTTGAACGCCAAACAAGGTAGCAACCAAGGGTGTCGATTTGTATCCGTGGTTGGGGGGGATGATAGGTGCCAAAATATTTTCGGCAATGGATCAAAGCAACCAAAGTGGTAGAAGCGTGTGGCAAGTTGCACCCCTCCCAAGCGCGTAGCCAGGATTTAATTTAAGGGGGGGCGGTAGTTAGCACACGAAGCGCGGTTCCTAGGGGGTTGGGTGCAGGGAGGGGGAGTCCCCCCCCCCCCCGCAAAGCGAGGAAGCTTTGACGTTTCACTAAATTATTAGAGAAAGAAGACGATTCGTTGGACCGTTCTCGACTCTTAATCCTTGTTTGAATTAAATTCTCCTTCCTCCGCGCGTAGCGCGGTAGCTCTGACGTTTCATTAGATTATTAAAGAAAGAAGACGATTCTATGTACCATTCTCGACTCTTATTCCTTGTTTGAATCAAGCTCCCCTTCCCCCGCGCGTAGCGCGGAAGCTCTGACGTTTCATTAGATTATTAAAGAAAGAAGACGATTCGATGTACCATTCTCGACTCTTAATCCTGGTTTGAATCAAGTTCCCCTTCCCCCGCGCGTAGCGCGGAAGCTCTGACGTTTCATTAGATTATTAAAGAAAGAAGACGATTCTATGTACCATTCTCGACTCTTAATCCTTGTCTGAATTCATTTTTACCCAATCCTGCGCGAAGCGCGGAAGCTTTCACATTTTATTACATTATTAGAGAAAGAAGACGATTTGTTGTATCGTGTCCTTCATGAATTCAGTTTCCCCCCTACCTTGAAGCTTTAATGTTTCAATAAATTATTACTCTTTATCCTTGTCTGTATTCACTTTCGCCCATTCCGCGCGTAGCGCGGAAGCTTTCACGTTTTATTAAATTATTAGTAAAAGAAGACGATTAGTTGTATCGTGTACTTTGACGTTTCATTTGATTATTACTCTTAATCCACGTCTGAATTCAGTTGCCCCCCTAACAGCTTTGCCCTGTTCGCTAAATTATTAGAGAAAGAAGACGATTCATTGTACTGTTCTCTATATTAATCCTTGTCTGAATTCAGTTTCCCAACTGAAAATAAGTTGTGACATAATAATCTTTCTCCAAAAATGAAAAATGTTTTAGGAAATATCAGGAAATAAAATGAGTGAAAAAAATAAAAATAAAGATACAATGACGTGAATTTTAAAAAGGGTGAACGGAAACAACATAACAACTAGTGAACTATTTTATAAGTCATACTAATGTCCGAAAATCTTTCTCTTTGTCTCCGATCTCATCACGAAATCGTCACAGAGTTCATCTATGTTTACACTGTCCAGGATTGTCTGATGTGCATTGCAGATTGCTACTTTTGTGCTTCGCGCTTAACATTTAGCTCGTTGCTTTTGATGCTGCGTCTTTGCATTTGGCGCACTGCATTTCTATGATATGCTGTTGATTGAACAAATTGAATAAATTCATCAATTCCTGATGAAGCCGTATGAGCGAGAATTCAATTTATTCTTGTCTCATATACGGTTGTCTTATTAACTTCGTATATAATGTATGTATTATGAAAATGAGATAGCAAAATGTGTATATTGATGGTCATCTTGCGAGTAATAACAATTAACTACTCTCATCGGACTCTCATCATTAATTTTTCTCTTCATTTAAAAAAATAATTTTATGGTGAATTATTGGGGGGGATGATTGTACAGGCCATCCCCCCCACCTGAAATATTGGGGGGGATATATCCCCCCATCCCCCCCGGGATCGACACCCATGGTAGCAACAACTCCCATTTTTTAACGTTTGACGCACAAAAGAAACGATTTCCCGCGCTGAAGTGTTTGTTATTGCCTGGTAATTTATACGTAACGGTCCAATAGCGAAAAAGCCCGCACTTCTGCCTATTAACCAGAAAGCAAGAATCTTGAATTTAAGATAATATAATGCTTTTCAAACTTAAAGAATGATTTCATACAATTTGTTATCAGTTATATATACATTTATATTTTTAATGTTATTAAAGAGTGTCCATTCAATTGCTTTAATACTAGATTACATGCATTAATTGTTCATATTATTCAGTAATTTACTCTCCTGTAATTTTAGTTGGTGTTGTAAATATGTATATAACAATTAAAATATCAAAGTATATGTTGCCCTTTTTCAAGGTCTTATACTTACTGAAATTTGCTAATAGTTACTTTACATCGGATTTAAAAACTAGTTACTGTCTATCCTATAATGCTAAATTAAAATATTATTTGCAACAACGTTTTCTTGAACAAAAAAAGCAAAGCAAAACAAAACAAACACAAAATTATGTTTATATTGCGAGGATACCAAATACTCTGTTTATATGTTTATACATGTCCTTACCTATTGTTTATTGCTGTTATGAATTTATGTTCAAGATTTTGTTATCAATTATATTTATATAATATTGACTGGCCTTGAGGGGTATATCAGAAATATTGACCAAGCTCAGATCATATTGCCCCGAGTCGAAAGACGAGGGCAATATGGTCTTAGCGCGGTCAATATTTCTGATATCCCCCGAAAGTAAAGCCAGTCAATATTTGTATTGTTATCCAAATCAGACATCTAGAGCAAATACAGAAATCCACCATGACAATCTCAAGAACTGAACAAACTTTGTCAAACCAGCACTGTGCATCCAGTACTTGACAAAATTTTCGATACACTGCAAACAGTGTGCATTTGGTGTGATTATTACGTCACAATAGAGTGCGCAGGTTCTCGTACGCATAATGGGCCGTATGCATAAAAAGTAGCAATTGCTTGTGCTAGCCTTTTACTTGAATCCGTATGCATAAACATAAGCAATAATTTGCTTGCAAGCAAATGCTTTTGCTAGCAAGCACAAGCAATTGCTTGATGTCCGCAAGCAATTGCTTAAAGATCAAGCAATTGCTTAAAAACGTATGCATAAAACGAACCTTTTGCTTGTTCTTATAAGCAATTGCTTACGTTTTTTCAAGCTCCGTCATAGCAGCTTGAGCTCTTGCTTAATCGGGACGTTCGCGGTTAAGCATCATGTTTATGCTCGTTAGAGAAAGACCAAAGTTGTACAGGAGTAGAATAAATCGAGAAGAAATTGCTCCCGAGACCTATCGGAAACTATTCCGTTTCGACAAAGAGAACGTTGAGTGATTAGCACACAGGTTCATACCTGAACATGATGAAAAACGGGGAGGATGTCTGACAACGGTGGAGAGCATGGAGGCCACGCTCATTTGAATATACTACTAGTATGCGAAACCTGCCTTTGTTCTCCCATGATTGATGTTCGCACCGGCGTGACGTCGCTATTGTTGAGATCGTAGGCAATTATTGCTTGCTGGAGGCAAGCAAAAGGTTTGAGCACAAGCAAAATGTTATGCATACGGATTTAAGCAATTGCTTGAGCTTGATCTTTTGCTTGACAAGCAATTGCTTGTGCTTGAAGCAATTGCTTGCAAGCAATTGCTACTTTTTATGCATACGGCCCAATAGATGCGCAATAAAAATGACAAAATACGGCGCGGTCAATACAAGATACCCGGATATGCGAGACCGTGGAAAATACCAAGGTATATTTTCACTCGTCTCTACACGCAAAGTCAATACGCGCAGGGAGACCAAGGAAAATACAAAGAATATACCCCTCCGTTCCCACTGCTAGTGAAAACTAGGGCAATACGGTTTTGTAAATGACCAGCTCAGATGTCTGATACGGGTAATAATATTATATATATATTTGTTAAACTATAATGTACCTCATTATGTTTAACAGGGCTTCATAAAAGACTACCATTATTGATGATAATGAGCCACCTCGTCTAAATATCAGAAATAAAAAACAAATCAATAAATCAATACATTATTATATACCTTCTCTAAAACGTGGAGTAGGACATTTTTTCTTGTACATTTTGCAATATATTTGGATATGATGATTAAATGTAAATGGCCCCATCTCTTTTCTTTTCAATAAACAGGTCTTGGATATTGTATGGTTAATATATGTTGTATCATGACATTGCACCGTGTTGCTAAGGAGAATTACAACCTACTTTTCAGCCTTGGTTTGACTGGATATGGTGCCGGAATGGTTCTGTTACCGCTCTTAGCTGAATTCTTACGTCAAGCATACGGTTGGAGAGGTGGACTGCTCATCATAAGCGCTCTGATGGCTAATATTATCCCAGTTGGCATGGCAATCAAGTTGGAATCAGATGAGAGTAGCACACAGAGAAATGGTTTTCAGAGTGTCCCAAGTTCTCCCAAGGGAGAAGAATGCAATACCAGCACAAGTCAGGACATAACAGGTGAGTTCAATCGGAAAATCCTATTAGAGCGACAATGTCGGTCTCGTGGACCTTCAACAGGGCCAAAAAGACTAGTATGTCGGTTTTGTGGCCATTTGGTCTCGTCGGCATTTAACCCTGTCGACAGTTTGCTGGAAGATTCGATAGATCTACATTGTCGGTCTCGTGGGCTGTTAGTCTCGTGTGCTCTTGCCGGGACTGGTTAGTCTACGAAGACTGGTATAAATTATAAATCATTGTCGACAATACGTAACCTTGTCCGACTTTAACATACATGCTTTGATGCTAATTAACATGCGCCATCTCGGAAACAGATCATTTTATGGACATGGACGAGGGTTTTGCCCCGCCTACTAACGATGAAATGTGATGAGATCAGGAAACTTACTATATACATCACAATAACCATACAAAGATCCAACTCTTGAGATGATATTATGACCTTCGACCAGAGAAGGGAATTGTAGATTTGATGTTCATTTTTTTATTATTTCATATGTAATAATCATCATCATAAAATTAATGAGAGACCTACATATAACATAATGTAGTGTGCGATGTAAAAGGTAATATCGTTCCAAATGTGTTTCGGACATTAAACCTCTTTTTTGTGGCCTTTTTAATTAACTCTTCTTTAAAGATGAAAACGGAGACGACAGCGGAATTTTTCGTAGGATCACCAACAGTCTTCGCCAATCTGATTTGTACGTGGATCCTATATTTATTTTGGTATATGGTGTTACTTTGGCGTCGCATATAGTTTGGAGTGGTTGGCACTCCTTTCTTGTACCTTATGCTCTGCAGAGAGGGATCTCGGTCCGGAACACCATTATCATCACTTTCTCAGCTGCAATAGGGAATGCCTTAAGCAGGGTTGCTGTTGGTTCCCTTACCAACAGCCTTGTCAAACCTGTCGACCTCTTTCTCTTCGCTACAATCTTGGACATCGCCGCTCTTCTGTGCAATGTGTATTTCGTCAACTACTACGCCATGTTGGTGACTACATGTATCTCCTCCGTGGCAATAGCAGGGAAGGCGGTGTTGAGTCATCTGATCGTGAGGGATAGAGCGTCTTCCCAAAAGTATGATGTCGCGTTTGCAGTCGACCAATTTTTTATCGGATTCGGGATGATTCTTGGTGGCTATTTGAGTGGTAAGGAATCCCCAACAACCTAAAATGTAAATTAGCCATTAAACTATCTTTTGTGTAAGCAATCACAATATAAACAAATATTCTTTTAAATTAGCTTGAATTGAATAAAAACAGATTTTTTTTTTGTTTGTTTTCAGGTTGTTTCCAGAAAGGTTAAACTCTGATTTACAACCTTCATTAGAGCGAAAAGATTGATTTAATAAGATTTATTCCAAATATTCATTCTCGCCGAGATTCTAACAGTTGATTTTGAATGATATTAGTTAAACACGAGCATGAACTGAATTGTTCTACATGTAACTGCTTACAAACACTTATAATGTTGTTAATTGCAAGGTAAACAGAAAAAAAGGCATATCAAATTTAGTAGGTTTGAGGTACGGTTCCCTACCGGTTACTAAAAGCTCGTTTGCGTTGCTGGCTGCCATGGATATCAAAGCCACGCCCATTGGCGGGAAACATGTACTATATATCAAACGCAGACGAGAAAGAGAATGGCAGCGATAGAGGGCAGCAGTAAAGAGAGCTGTGCGCAGACAAAAATAAAATTGGGGTTATAAAAATGATGTACATTAGTGTCTATTTATATTTAAATAGATTGGATTGAATTATGGACTCCACTGTGGATTTAATGAGCTAACACAATGAATTAAATAAGAACAAACTAGTGACTGATCGAATGACTGTAATTTAAGGGATTTATGTATGTATTCAGATCAACATGAAGTATTCAAAATGCTCTCTTTGTTTTTTTTCAGGCATGATTGCGGATCACTTCTCCTCCTACAACGCAACGTTTAAACTATTAGCTTTCATCGACGTCATCGTTCTCCTCCTAATAGTGGTCGTGAGATGCAGACCGAAAGCAATCCCGGTCTGAACATGCTGTATTGGAAGCGTCTTACATTATTATATCTTTTATAGTGAGGTCTAAAAGCGAGTTCAGGATTTGGCTTCTGTTTACATTATTAGCAAAATATTTTTTAACAAACCATTTCTTTTCCTTTTTCATAAAAGTATTTGGAGCATATTAGGTATCGGAAGCGTTAAGGCTTTTGCAACTTTTTTGTATTTAAACAAATATTTTTTTACAAACTTTTTTGGGCATGAAGATATTTGGAGCATATCAATAGAAAAAAGGGTAATCAACTGAATCATACTTGAAGATAAGGTGTGGTTCATACTTCATTGACTTATTTCTTATCATTTGACATGTAATTTATATGTATGTTTTTAAAAATTGTATGTAAGGGTTTCGGTAAATAAAAACAAACAAACAAACATGAAATAATGCATGACATTCTAATAAGTTTATTTATTGGTTTAATTATACATATTTGAAGAAATAAATGAGAGCTATATGCTATCTCAAACATGGACTACCTGAGTCAAACGTGTAGCACTACTTGGTGTAATACGAGTTTGGGTTTTTATAATCTGGAATATACCGAGTACAGAGTTTAGTCGAAGAAATTCATTAACAGTATCATCATCCTTCAATAAGACAATATTAAAATCCCCAATTATATCAATATGCCTATGTTCATTACTTAATTTGTTAATAACATTGTAAAATTCAAGGAATATTTCATGATTTGATTCCGGCTTTCTATAAATAACACCAACAGTAGACCTTTTACGGTTTTTATCTAAAAAGTCAAACAAATATTCACATGTTAAATTGGTTTCTTGATTATAAACGATATCTGTCCTTATCATGCGCGGTTCCAGGATTTCTTAGGGGGAGGGGCCCAAATTTGAAATTATGCGAGCCAAATTTTGGTACGTAACGGTGACCAGCAGTGGCGTCATGAGCAAAAACTTTTTTTTTATTTGGAGGGGGGGGGGGGGGGAGACAAAAACAAAAAAAAATCCGCATCACCCCACTCTTACATGCAGGCCACGCTAATAAGTGGGTGGGGTAAGTATTTACGATCAGGTAGAGTGTAGCGTAAATTGGCCGGGGTCAAGGGGCGGAGCCCCTGGAAGCTTAGGGGGTATGGGCATTTAATTACAGTCAGATGGGCATATTTTGATACATTATACATGACACTGGCAGGTCACTAATTGGCGTGGGGTCCAGGGTGCCGAGCCCCCGGAAGCTCAGGGGTTTAGGCAATAAAATACGGTCAGATGTGCATTCAGGGGCCCGCCTTAGAGCCATTGGTGGGTTCGAGGAGGCGGAGCCCCCGGAAGCTCATGGATTTTAGGCGTTTAATTACGGTCAGATGAGGCTATTTTGATAGCTTATTTGTGACACTAGCAGGACACTTATTGGTGTGGGGTCCACGGAGCGGAGCCCTCAGAAGCTCTGGCGTTTTATCATTTTTTAACGGTCAGATAAGCATTCAGGGGCCCGCCCTAGGGCCCCTGGTTGGGTCGAGAGGGCGGAGCCCCCTGAAGCTCAGGGATTTTAGGCATTTAATTACGATCAGATGAGCATATTATGATACATAACTAGCAGGACACTAACAAGGGCGGATCTAGCTTTTTGCCAAGGGGGGGGGGGATTCGCATTTCTCGCTACGCTCTACCCTTCCATTAATTATATAGCCCCCCTCCCCACTTTGGAAGACGTTTCGCGGGCATGCATGTAAACATAAAAAGTGTTGGTAATGCGGATTTGCTTTCTTCCCTTCTGCCCCCTCCCCCCCCCAGAAAGTTTTTGCTCATTACGCCACTGGTCTCTCGCATTTTGTACCCCCCCCCCCCCCTGGTCATGAAAAGAGATCGCCGCTCCTGTGTATGTGTATGCCTCTATCACTTAGAATGTAATCACTAACATCACTTAAATGATTCTTCTCCTCTCCTTCTTCTTCATTTTCCTCTTACTTGTAGTTGTAGTAGTAATAGCAGCATGTTTTCTGACTGTTTTCAAGACAATATCATGTTTGTCGATCATAGTTCTACATATCTTGATGTCCAGGCGCGTACGCACTGGGGGTTGGGGTTCCCCCCCCCCCCCCCCAACGAAACAAAATATCGATCGGCCAAACTTTCAAATTTTGGGACAAAAAAAAAAGTGCTTTTAGAGAGAGAGAAATAAATAAATAAACAAATAAAAAAAAAGGAAGAACATGAAACTCACTGCTTACAGATTACATTTCCAATGAGTTGGATCGACATGTGCCTACGAAGTTGCGAACGAAAGTACAACAATACGAAAATAGAAGTTCTATATATTTTCACACGCTAGTGAGGGGAATTTCTCGATTATTTCCAATGAAACCGATTGCGGAAAGCCTAGACTGTATTTTAAACTTTTTTGCACGTACTATAGTCAGGGGCGTCGCTAGACCTTTTCCAATGGGGGGAGGGGGCAGTGTATAGACCACCGATTACCGATTAAACTAGCCACCAATTACCGACAAATACATTAACGCCAATGTCTACAAATTTAACCCGATAAACCTGAGACCGGGGGTCAGGGGGGCGTTATTTTTTTTTCTGCGGCATAGATTGGGGTTAGGTGCGTGTTGAGCCTATGGGAAAGGTTAGGGTTAGGGTTAAAATCAAGACCTCTTTTTAAAAGAAAGTCCCAATCTGTGCTGCAGAAAAAAAAATGACGCGCCCGGGGGCTATTATTCCTATGAACTATCTATACCTGCGCATGCGCACATGGTCATTTCCTTTGACCTCATAAATTCGGTGTGGCGTGATCGGCAAGAGCGATGCGCGTGAACACCAGAGTCAAGAGCTCGATTCATAGTTTTGCTATAATGGAACTTTTTTTTTCTTTTGCTGATATTATAGAGTACCGAACTCCGAAGCTGTGACGACATAAAAAATATTTTTTAGAATTTCCTCAATTAATTCAGATAGTCATATCTCAGCCAATGCTTAACACATTAAATTGATTTTCGACATTTCGACATTATTTTTGATGCTCTTTCGGAATATGAAAACAAAATTGAGAAATTCTAAAAATAAATGTTTGATGACGTCACACTTCACCACTTTATAGTAAGGTTGATAATGACAATTAACAATGATAAGTAATGATTGCTGGTGAAACTTCGAGAAAATACAAGTTTTTGGTTGTAATCTCTCTCAAAGTGGTCACAGCGGATGAAAAGTGTCAATTCGTATGACAAAAATATTCGCCAGCGCCAACCGACATTATACATATCTTGATAATCAGACAGGTGATCATTGCAGCAAGAATTAAATCCAGGATTTTGTTTCAGAATCTAAGACAAAGTTACCGGATCCCTTTA